AACGTTGCTGCTTTCCCACAATTTAAACAAGTTACTGATCTTTTAATCACATTATGTAACTGCAATATCGAACGACTAGCGGGGGGCTGCGCCCCCCGCACTCCCCCTTAAAACTAACCTAATTTAACCTATCGTCACATTAACCGTCAGTCATTGTTTATTAAAGTGTTTAACTTTTTTTCTTAATAATTTTTTAGTAAACAATGATTAACGGCTAATGTGACGATAGGTTAGGTTAGGTTAGTTTTGAGTGGGGATGCGGGGGGCGCAGCCCCCCACTAGTCGTTCGATATTGCAGTTACATAATGTGATTAAAAGATCAGTAACTTGTTTAAATTGTAGGAAAGCAGCAACGTTCGACAAATGAAAAAAAAAATAAAAAAAAAAGTTAAAATAATATATAACTTGCATATTTTTCGAACTCCCCCGATTGATTATCAATATTGGAGTCAAAATAAATATTTTTACCAAAAGAGCTGCAAAAAGATATCAAAATTCGAAAAAGGCCTTATGGCTCCTGCACACAGGACGCGGTAATGCTTGCCGCGCGGCGGAAGTTCGCGCGACAGCCAATCAATATGCTGCTTTCCGTAATAACCTTCTGGCTCTTACGGAAAAATAACATATTGATTGGCTGTCACGCGGACTTCCGCCGCGCGGTAAGCATTACCGCATCCTGTGTACAGGAGCCATTATTGTACATAATTAGGGCTATCGCACACAAATTAACATAACTGCATATGCATAGCATAAGACCGTATGTACCAATGAGCATCGAGTATTAAGTCGCCATATTGGTGTTCGATGCTTAATATTCGATGCTCATTGGTCCATACGATCTTATGCTATGCATATGCAGTTATGTCAATTTGTGTGCGATAGCCTTTACTCGAAAAAGAACTAGGAATATTGAAATACTAGATAGTACACTGATCGTGCCTGACGGTACTTTCACAGCAGCGCTTGAGATCGATATTTCGGCCAAATATATGATTTTTTAATATTTAATTAAAATTATCTGAATGACTCACAAACCTTTTTAATGATACTTCATAACTCTTCATATGAAATATAAACGATATTATACCGAACTTTTGTTTAATTTACCGGTAACGCGACAATTTCCCGAATAATGGAGGGGATAAGATTGGTACCAACGAAAACCTCTAGATGACATAATTTCAATTTCTAAGGATTACTGACACTGTTTAAGTGGTAAACTGTTAGTTTGCGCAAACTTTTTGACAGATGTGCGCGCGTGTATATCACAAATATTATGCAACTGTCAAATTACAAATGAAACATACTTTGTAGTATTTTATTAAAATAAAATAAAATAAAAATGACATAAATGAAAGCATAAGATGCGTAGAACATAATAAATAAGACAAGTGAGAACATAAAGTGAATAAGGTGAGAAGCATTATATATTTATAGATATATATACACACACGTGCATGTATATGTATAATTGGATAAATAATTATTATATGTAAATAAATAATTAAAATTTTTCAGTGTTTTGGCATGCTTCAATATTAGTAATGGATGTGGCTTAGTTCTTCGCATTGGAATAAATTTGTCACCATTGCAATAAACAAATACTTATCAGATAAGTAGTTAATATTCAAATAAAATAAAAGATGAAGTATCTATGTACAATCTGTAATTATAAATGTTGGACTAATTCTTTCTTTTGATTAATTTTTTGTTCCAGCTCCTCAGCTATCAATGTGCTTGCAGAATATTAATTACTGGAAGACAGTTCTATGGAGTAAGATTGCAAAAGTCTGAAGTTACTGTGTCCTTGAGTGCGTCCCACTTGTAAGCAAAAATTGAATCACCTCCTAACGTCAAATATCAAAGTAAGATGTGTCACTACGAGTGTGACGACAGATTGACGCAACAAATCGAGAACAAGTTCGTAACATTGATATTTACTGTCATCAATGCTTTCGACGGATGTACTTGATGTTTTTTTATCACTTTGTCATATAGCCTACTGACCTATATATTCCTCTTATCTTTTAGCAAACAGGATGTTTTACCTATGTTTGCCTCTGCAAGTATGATTATTGGGATTTTATCAGAGATAGTGAACTTCTCCCAAAAATTGACAATCAGTACTTGAAGGAGATAACTACAGTAAAATGAAAAATAAAAATCATATAAAATTAATGTACTATTATTATTGTTTGTATTATTATTATTCATGAATTTTTTGGTATGCAATATTATTTTATAACGTTTAAAGGATTTTTGTAACATTAGAAGTGCTTGTCAATTCCAGGAAATAATTGTACCTATAAATAAATATACTAATTACAAATTGTAAATAATAAGTTGTTTTTATCAGAACATTAACTATTATTTATTTTATCGTTTTTTGTTAATCATTTTTTACTTTGAAACTGTTGCTTTTTTTAATGATTCCTTTCCTTAATCATTCCTATTATAAATGTTTATTATGCGTAAAAAGAGTTAGTAACGGTTTTCGAATTTAGGCTTTTTTAAATCAAATATTGCGCTTCATTATGAATTCATAGCGATTCATTGTTTTTCGCAATTGTCATTTTGCTTTTTCATGGCATTGTGATATGTAACATTGTTCATTATTTTATTCTGCATATTTTCTATATTTCGCCGAGATGTCTGATGAAAATAAATGCAATAATAATATAAGGATCCAACAGCCCAAATTAGTTTATGATGGATATCATTTTCATTGCAATAAATCTTACGGAAACACAATGTAGCGAAATATCTTGGAGTGACGTTATTCATTTATATGACTATAAATTGCAAAAAAAAAATATTTCATTATGTAGTATTTTCTTAATCAAATAATTTTTTTACTCTAATAATTTAATATGTGGCGGTTCGATCGCCGACCGCACGCGCGTTGTCGCCTGCAGTACAGCAGCCGACATCTCGCGCCGGGAGGCGCAAGCAGGTGCTGCAGCCGCGCCGGTTCTTCTCAGTCGCGCCACGAGAGCCACCGCAGCTGGTGGCCTAAGAGAGACCATCTCCCCGCGTTCGTTTTATCAATCTTAGTATCAGTATTAGCATTGGCAGTTGTATTTAGTTTTCTGTATCCCGCGTTTGTTCGCGCTCGCTCTTGCGTTTTCTCGCTCGACTCAGTAGTCGGTCATCCGCCGGAACGACCCTGCGCTTGTTCGTTCGGGCCCTTGTCTTCATGCGCGACGCACGGCCCTTTGTCTTCGCTCACCTCACGCCACGTGGCTCGTGCGCGACGCACGCCGTTCGTGCCGCTTGTTGTGACTTGTCGGAACATTGTGCGTGCAGTGAGATATACGCCAGTCGTGCGCTATACAGCGAGCTAAGTTTTATAGCATCTCCGAGCGCTGAGCGCGGATGCATCGAGTCAGCGTTACTTCCGTCTCTTCTCCTCGGGCCGACACGTGTTCGCGGTGTGACTAGTGCGCGCCCGCGGTTCGCCAACCGTAGTCTGCGCGTTTGGTGCATTTGACCGCGAGGTCGATCGCGGACGCGCCGGTAAGCGACGCGTGACCCGAGAGCGTGTCTCTCTGTGATCGTGCGGGTGTTCCCGCGTGCAGGCGGTCGAGCAAGCGTGCCCGCCGACCTTTGCCCTTGCGGGCGATCCGTATTCGAGCCGCCCTTGATTGGCCGCGCCTGCCTGTTCTTTGTTGCTTCGTTTGAGTGGCTGCATGCCTCATGCTTCAGCCTCATGCATTCGTTCGAGCCGTGCCATTGTACTCAGCGGCCGTTCACGTGCGGTAGAGCAGGCTGTCACGTGCACAGCGGCGTGGCACGTGGCTCAGCCAATCACTGGCGCGCTCGTGTCTCGCGTGATTTTTAGTACTAGCTTTGTTACCGTGACCTTTGTTCTGTATTCGTATAGAATAAACATTGTTAACCTTTGTTAGGAAATTAAGCTGTAACATATTTGGTGCCTCGATCCCTCGTCCTGGTTACACCCCTGTGTGAACATATTAATAACTTTTATGTGCCCTTCCTGGTGTGTTCGGAGACCGGCCGGGAGGCCGGCGGTCAATAGCATACAGACCAGAGAGTGAACTCCACTCGGGCCACAAATACTTCTTTAACTATATACTATTTGCTTCCCAGATAACAGATTCAAGTTATATTTACGTCATTTTCAGGTCATTTACTAATTAAAAATAATTAAAAAAGTGACTAATAAATGCCGCGAAATAGACGTCATAATTTCGATCGAACATCACATATTGATGACTACATTTCAAGACGTTTTAATGACGTTTGTATGATGTCTTAGACAACTACAAACCAGACATTTTAAAGATATAATTGACGTTATTTGATATCATTAAATCAGTCTTGATTAATTTTTGACGTTAAAATGACGTGGATCTGTTATTTGGGTATTATACTTCTCTTTAGGTAGTTATTATTTTTTGATAATTTATCTTTATTTTCATGTAATTCTTTGTATAGTTTTGTACAAATTAATAAGACAACTTTTTTATTTATTTAAATAATTAGCATAGAAGTTTACAAGGTTGAATTTGATGTATTTATTTATGAATATTTTTCTCACAGGTATTATGAATTTACGTAAAAATAAAAACATTAAATGTACAGCACGCTTAAAAATAAAAAAACGGCAACTACGTTTTAAATGGAGAGCATAACCATAATAAATATGTTTTTAAATTATCAAACATTAAAAAGGAAATAGAAGCGTCACATTACTTTCAATCCACTAGAATAATAAGAAACACAATTATTTCAAAGTGAGTGCAAAACAATGAAACAGAAAATATTAAATGCTATTAAGAAGAAAATTACATACAATTTTTAATTGGTAATTTTTGCATTAATTTTTAGGTACGATAATTTGCTAGATTTTACGAACATTAGAAATGTCGAACGATCTATTGAATGTTCTAAAAAGAAGAAAGGTTTTGGACGGATTCCACAAAATTTAAATGATCTGAACATTAATTTAAAAAATAAAAAATGGCAGCAGTTATTACAAATAAACGAAACACATTCATTCATTATAGAATCAGTGATTGAAAATAGTGATACTAAAGCGGTCATTTTTATTGATAAATATATGACTGAAAATATAAAAAAATTAACGAATAATAATTTAACTATTTTTTGTGATGGTACCTTTGCTACGGTGCCTCAATTAAGTAATAATAATTGTCAGTTGTGGATAATTGTTATTAGATATAATGACAGAGTAAGTAAAAGAATTCATTTCTGTATTAATTAAATAATAAATAGTTTATGTAATTGAAAGAGACACTAAATGTAAATATATGAATAATTTCAATTTTTTGAAATTTTTTATGAAATTTCAGACATTTCCTATTGTGTATACAATAATGGAAGGTTGTACAAAAAAAAATTATTTAAAAGTTTTAAGAAAAGTCAACAATATTATCCAAATAAGACCAGAAACTATATTAACCGATTTTGAGAGAGCTAAGCAAAATGCGCTCAAGACATCATTCCCCAACACTCCCGCCGGGCCCGTTGCGGTCCCCTCGCGGGGTCGTGGCTGGGTCGCGGCGGGTGGGGCGGGCGGAGGAAAGGGAAAGGGCCCAAAATGGGTAGAAAGGAGGGCGCCGGGCTCGGGTCGCCTGGTGGTGCCCCGGGTGCCGCCGGTGCCGCCGGTGCCGCCGGCGACGGCGGTGGTGGCGGTGCGCGTGGAGGGGAGCCTCTCGTACGCGGAGGCTATCCGCAGGGTGCGGGAGGTCCCCCTCCAGGGAGTGGGGGTCCGTCCGGCCTTTGTGAGGAGAGCCGCGAATGGCGGCCTCCTCCTGGGGCTGGCGGGCCCAGACAGAGAAGGTAGAGACCGGGGAGCCGACGACCTGGCCGATAAGGTCAGGGCGGCGCTCCCCGGGGCCTCGGTAACAAGGCCCAGGAGGTATGGGGAGGTCCGGCTCGTCGGTATTGACGAGTCGGTCCTCCCCGAGGAGATCACGGAAGCTCTGGCGGCCCGCGGTAATTGCGGGCCAACAGAGGTCCGGGTGGGCCCCATCCGGCGTGGCTGGGGGGGGGGTCGGGACAGTCTGGGCCCGCCTCCCCCTGGAGTCCGCCGCGATGGTGGCCAGGGAGGGAAGAGTGGCGCTGGGGTGGGCGGGTGCGCGGGTGGAAATGCTCGCAGCTCGCCCTCTCCAGTGCCACAAGTGTTGGAGGCTCGGCCACATCCGGGCGGCCTGCTCCGCGTCAATCGACCGGAGCGGGCTTTGCTACCGGTGTGGCCGGGCGGGGCACATCGCGCGGAACTGCGCAGGGAGCGCGGCCTGCGCGGTGTGCTCCGAGGATGGAAGGGCCTCGGGCCACCGGGTGGGTGGTCCCGAGTGCCCAATGGGGGGTGGTGCTCCGGCGGGCGGAAGACCGCCGGGGCATCGCAGGGGTCGACCGCCGAACGTGGCCGACCCGAGTTGCCCCCCTACGGGAGGCGTGCCGGCGGACTCCGGGGAGTTGCCCCGGGATCCGGCCGGCGGAGAGGGTGCCGGGCGGATACTCCGCCTCCACCGGTCCCCCCTCTCCCCTACGGGTCGCCTGGGGGGTGTGCGGGGGCGCACCCTCCAATCAAAGCGGCCCGGGAGGGAGGCGGCGCGGTGTTGGGTCGCACCGCGCCGCTGCTCAGGAGGAGCGTGACCGGGGGTGATTTATTACCCCCGGTCCGGGAGGGGTCCTCAGGACCGCGGAGGGGGGTTCGCGGATGTTATACGCAAGTGGTTCCCGCGGGCCCCCTGATGACCGCTGAGGACGGACCCGCCAGGGGTTTTAGTGGGTAGGGCCCCCCCCCGAGCATCCTCGGGGGGGAGGAGCCCCACATAACCCGCGGTTTCCCCCCGGAGATCGTGGGCATGCGTAACGCATTTCCCCTGGCTCAAAAAAAAAAAAAAAAAAGCATTCCCCAACACAAAAATCATTGGTTGCTTTTTCCACTATAACCAAGTAATAAAAGATAACAATGCACATAATAAGAAACATGAAATGCATATTAATTTTCCTTATATTGCTTTCTTTTTACAGACGTTAGTATGCAATGCGAAAATATATAAAATTTTAAAGGGTGACAGACAAGAATTAGGATGGAATGCGACAAAATTATTATCTTTAGCATTGTTACCCGAATTATACATAGAAGAAGGTTTTAATATAATCACCAAAGTTATTTTTGATAAATGTACATATTTAGAAACATTTTTTAATTATTACAAACATGGATCAACAATTTTAAAACCAGTTCGTTCTGCGTATATAAACAATTACACAGAACAAACAATATAAGCAAACGACATAACAGAGAATTGAAAGAAAGTTTACGTAAACATTCGACAATACTCACATTTTTAGGTATAAGCGCTCTATTGTAGTTATTGCTAGAATATTTTTATCGTTCTTACAATAGAATATTATTTACAGTAAATTTAACAGAACACCAAAAAAATATTCACAGCATGATGGGGCATCCAACATTTTGGATGAGGTCAGACTTAAACTGCTCCTTAAAAAAAAAGAAGAAGAAATACAAAAGATTTGGAAAAAAATTGAGAATAATGAAGATTTAGATTTATTATTAATCTTATATGACTTATCGCAATTAATAGGAAAAGAGGAAATAAATACATAACATGTTCTTACTTCCTATTCTTCTTTTAATTTTCCTTGTTGTTTCACAAATTTGTAATCCTTGACATCCTTGCATCTTTCATTTATGATTTTTATTTTTCATTTTATTGTAAATAAAATGTCTCCTTTTAGGACCGATTGTCAATTTTTTGGAAAAGTTTACAATATCTGACCATAAATCCCAATAACCATACTTGCAGAGGCAAACGTAGGTAAAACATCTTGTTTGCTAAAAGATAAGAGGAATATATAGGTCAGTAGACTATATGACAAAGTGATAAAAACATCAAGTACATCCGTCGAAAGCATTGATGACAGTAAATATCAATGTTACAAACCTGTTCTCGGTTTGTTGTATCAATCTGTCGTCACACTCGTAGTGACACATCTTACTCTTATATTTGACATTAGGAGGTGATTCAATTTTTGCTTACAAGTGGGACGCATTCAAGGATACAGTAACTTCAGACTTTTGCAATCTTACTCCACAGAACTGTCTTCCAGTAATTAATTAATTCTACAAGCACATGGATAGCTAGGGAGATGGAACAAAAAATTAATCAAAAGAAAGAATCAGTCCAACATTTATAATTGTACATGGATACTTCATCTTTTATTTTATTTGAATATTATCTACTTATCTGATAAGTATTTGTTTATTGCAATGGTGACAAATTTATTCCAATACGAAGAACTAAGCCACAACCATTACTGATATTTATATTAAAGCATGCCAAAACGCTGAAAAATTTTAATTATTTATTTACATATAATAATTATTTATCCAATTATACATGTACATGCACGTGTGTGTATATATATCTATAAATATATAATGTTTTTCACCTTAATGTTCCTACTTGTCTTATTTATTATATTCTATGCACCTTATGCTTTCACTTATGTCATTTTTATTTTATTTTATTTTAATAAAATACTACAAAGTATGTTTTATTTGTAATTTGACGGTTGCATAATATTTGTGATATACACGCGCGCATATCTGTCAAAAAGTTTGCCCAAACTAACAGTTTACCATTTAAACAGTGTCAGTAATCCTTAGAAATTGAAATTATGTCATCTAGAGGTTTTCGTTGGTACCATAGACATATATACTATACCCTAGACTGCTAACTCGGGCGCCATTAATGTACTCATATATAATGTACAACTTATACATGACATAGTACCCTCTAGGAGCGTTTCACTTATCGCTATGATGCCGCAATACGAGTATAAAGTGGAATGCTTCCTGTGTCGCCTGCTATTTGCAGCTGTAGAATGACAATTTGTAAAAGTATATGCATCTACACGTAATTATATTATATATAATGTCACTAATTTTATAAACTAAATACTAATACTAAATATACAAATACAGTGTACAACATACAAAAGAAAGGTAAAATATATGTTATGATTATCATTTCTTAACATAAATAAAATAAAATGAGTAAAAAAAATTAAAATCCTAATCTGCTTTATTGTCAAGAATAAAACCAGGTTTTGTAATCTAAGTTTTCTCTCTCTCTCCCCCTTCCTCTCTCTCTCTCCCTCTCTCTCTCTATGCGTTATATTATTAATAATACCGAAACATGTATATATTTCTTTTATTAATAGTTAAATAAATAATGTATTTTAATTATATAGAAAATGAAAAAGGAAATGTATGTAGGAATTTATAATAGGAAACGTATTAAGGTAAGATAAGATTTATTACACAAGATAACGAAGAATATATAATATAGAATACAACATAGAATTATAGGAATACAAATAGTTATTCACATGAAAATAAAATTTGTTTTGTGAGTCTGTGTCTTTTCCGCAGGGGTTTTAGTACTTCTTGTGTGTAAAATTGCGAATATGTATATAATCGTATTTTTAAATAGCGCTGTGCTAAAGCCGTTATTAATTTAAGTTTATTTGGAACTTCTAATAAATCTATATCCTCACAATATAAATTTGGAAATATACTGGCATCTATTGCTAATGAATTTTTAACATGTGTCATTACTTTTTCCTTATAGAAATATACTAAGAATCATTGATAATTACTTATTATCCAGTATTTTTAATATTGAAAATAAGTAATTATCAATGATTCTTAGTATGATATTTCTATAAGGGTTATATCTAACTGTTTAACTGCAAACTGTGAGAAATCTTTACTTAACAACCGAATATATTTTTCAGTTTCCAGAATAACTTTATAAACACTTGTAGAAGGCCTAACTAAACCACCATTGTTATTATAATCTAAAAATCTAGAAAAATGTGCATAATGTGCATAATTGTGTTCTGTATTATTTTGTAATAATGCTTCTGCGCAAGAATAACAATTTATTTTATGTAGCTTTCTTATTATGTATCTGCTAATATAATACAACATATATTCCTGTAAGTTTTGCAGTGTACCCTTATAGAAATATCATACTAAGAATCATTGATAATTACTTATTTTCAGTATTAAAAATACTGGATAATAAGTAATTATCAATGATTCTTAGTATGATATTTCTATAAGGGTAATAGTTATATCCGTGCTATTACCAATACAATTTTCATCATCAGTTTCACTATTTTCTTCACATAATACGATCTCTTTTGTTTTCTTTTTCCAAGTGAAATCAAACACCGAACCAAGGGGATCAGTATCAAATTATGTACAATTTATATTATTAGAATTTCTTATATTATTTCGGAATAACAGTTTTCTCATGATATATTGCAATTGTAATGCGTGTGGGTTATTATTATGATCACCACAACTTCTAATTTTCGCAAAAAACATTTCCAAATGATCTTGAGAAAATTTATAAGATAGTATATATTTATAAGTATTATTAGAAAATAATAAATACTACAGACAATATTGATTTTGCAGCAATTGTAAAACCATAAATAAATGTTTTTTTCGGAGACGCTTTTAAAAATGTACCAGTCTTACTTTGTAGTGAAAATAAATATTCGATACTTTCTTGCACCATATTCTGAAGAAAGGAAAAGTTTTTTATTGTTATAGGTTGTTTAAAATTTTTGCTAAATGGATTTTTCGAATTTAAGAAATCAAATAATCTATCTATAACTTTAATAAATTTTGTTGTACTTTCACTATTTTGGAACTCATTAATTCCTTCCTTTCTTAAAAAATCTATTGCATTTGCAACAGAAGCGCTAAGCGTATTAGTTGCATATTTTACTTTCATTTTGTTTTGGTACCATAAAATACACTGCGAATTTAATTTGTTTTTTAACTTAAAAGTTAAATTATTCTGTAACGCATTTAACTGGACGATATAATCCCACTTTATGGTAGTCGAATTATGTTGAATTTCCCCTAAATCAGCAAAAGCATTTCTCGCTAATTTTAGCATATGGCATACATCTAATATAACATATACATTGTAATTTTTGCTAGGATGAGAAAAACTGTTTACAATTTCACTATGATTATTAGGAAAAAGATTACATCCAAGTGTTTTGAAAGCGCTTATGTTTACTTTTTCACCATCGCATGTCACAGATTTTACATTTAAATTTACCTCAGCTGTTAATCTTAACGCTGTGTTAATTAGTTCAGCTAAAGTTGTAGATGACATTCCATTTTTCAAAATATATCCGATTGGCCATTTCCACTTTCCTTTTAAGCTTACCACCATAAACACTAGTGCCTCTTTAGCTTGTATTTCACTTCCTTCGATATTTAAGTTATTACCATAGTCACAATAGCCTACAAATTTATGTTTTGCTGCATTCCAACATAATTGTTGTCGAATAGCCATTCCATCAAATATTAAATTGCAGTCTTTCTCTTCAGGTATTTCTTTTAATTTTTGCAGCACCTCAGAAAAAAAAACCCGGACTAACGTTGACTGTCAAATGCCAATTTCTGATTGATGATGGATTAGGTAACATCATAAAAGATCTGTAGAATATTATAAAATAATATATGCGTTTCTTAGAGAAGTATTCTATTATCAGGGTTGGGAACGTTACTTTTTAAAAGTAACGCGTTACCGTTACCGTTACTTGCGGTAAAAAGTAACTCGTTACCGTTACACGTTACTAATTCTAAAAAGTAATGCGTTAGCGTTATTTGAAAAGTAACGATAAAAAAATCGTTATTTTCCGTTACTTTTGTAAAAAAAAAAAAAAGTTAAAATCGGCATATAAAACGAATAGTAGAAGAGATACATAAGTTATACATATATAAAGATAAAATATAAGATATTTAAGCGGGAAACACACATTATTGCATAAAGCCCATTCTACATGAGTCGCAAATCGCAAGGTCACAAAGAAATTGACTAATCATAGTCGATTGTTCTTCTTGCGATCGAAGAATAATCAATTATGATTGGTACAATTTCCTTGCGATCTTGTGATTA